GATTTTGTTGAGGAGAAGCACGAAGCGCTGGTGCTACAAGGCAGAGGAGGGCGGGGGGAACATGTTCGAGCACTCACCGATTTTGTTGAGCAGAAGCACGAAGCGCTGGTGCGACAAGGCAGAGGAGGATGGAGGGAACACGGACGACCACTCACCGATCTTGTTGAGGAGAAGCACGAAGCGCTGGTGAGACAAGGCAGATGAGGGCGGGGGGAAAACGCACGAGCACTCACCGATTTTGTTGAGGAGAAGCACGATGCGCTAGTGCGACAAGGCAGAGGAGGGCGGGGGGAACACGCACGAGCAGTCACCGATTTTGTCGAGGAGAAGCATGATACGCTTGTGCGACAAGGCAGAGGAGGGGGGAGGGAACATGCACGAGCACTCACCGATTTTGTTGAGGACAAGCACGAAGCGCTGGTGCGACAAGGCAGAGGAGGGCGGGGGGAACACTATTGAGCACTCACCGATTTTGTTGAGGAGAAGCATGATGCCCTAGTGCGACAAGGCAGAGGAGGGCGGGGGGAACACGTATGAGCACTCACTGATTTGTTCAGAAGAAAGACGGAGCGTTTGTGCGACAAGGCAGAGGAGGGCGGGGGGAACACGCACGAGCACTAACCGATTTTGTTGAGAAGAAGCACGAAGCGTTGGTGCGACAAGGCAGAGGAGGTCGGGGGGAACACGCAGCACTCACCGATTTTGTTGAGGAGAAGCACTATGAGCTTGTGCGACAAGGCAGAGGAGGGCTGATGGAACACGCACGAGCAGTCACCGATTTTCTTGAGGAGAAGCACAAAGTGCTGATACGACAGGGCAGAGGAGGGCAGAGTGAACATGTCAGAATCCCAACCACTAGACCATTGGGATAAAAGGGCTTGTTTCAGTTGCGGGTCAGTGCGCCCATAACCCCCCAGGCAAACGCGCCTGTAACCCCCCCTAGGATCGATCGGGGATCTCACAATGTAGCTCTACTGACACCCCCCCACACTGGGAGGCCCAGGACTGAGCACAATGGCAATGGCCAACATGTGCATACACCGGGATTTGAACCCAAGACCGCTCTGATACCATGTCAGAATCCCAACCACTAGACCATTGGGATAAAAGGGCTTGTTTCAGTAGCGGGTCAGTGCGCCCATAACCCCCCAGGCAAACGCGCCTGTAACCCCCCCTAGGATCGATCGGGGATCTCACAGTGTAGCTCTACTGACAGAACACGCACGAGCAGTTACTGATTTTATTGAGAAGCACAAAGCGCTGGCGCTACAAGGCTAAGGAAGGCAGGGGGAACACGTACAAGCACCCACCAATTTTGTTGAGCAGAAGCACGAAGCGCTGGTGCGACAAGGCAGAGGAGGGCGGGGGGAACACGCACGAGCACTCACCCATTTTGTCGAGGAGAAGCACGATGCGCTTGTGCGACGAGGCAGAGGAGGGCGGAGGAAACATGAACTAGCACTCACCGATCTTGTTGAGCAGAAGCACGATGCGCTTGTGTGACAAGGCAGAGGAGGGCGGATGGAACACGCTTGAGTAGTCACCGACTTTGTCGAGGAGAAGCATGATGCGCTTGTGCAACAAGGCAGAAGAGGGTGGGGGGAACACACACGATCATTCACACATTTTGTTCAAAAGAAGCATGATGCGCTTGTGCGACAAGGCAGGGGAGGGCGGGGGGAACACGCACGAGCACTCACTGATTTGTTGAGGAGAAGCACGGAGCACTTGTGCGACAAGGCAGAGGAGGGCAGGGGGAACACGCACGAGCAATCAACGATTTTTCTTGAGGAAAAGCACAAAGCGCTGGTGCGACAAGGCAGAGGAAGGCAGGGGGAACACGCAAGAGCACTCTCCGATTTGTTCAAGAGAAGCACGGAGCATTTGTGCGACAAGGCAGAGGAGAGGGGGGGGAACACGTACGAGCACCCACCGATTTTGTTGAGGAGAAGCATGAAGTGCTTGTGTGACAAGGCAGCGGAGGGCGGGGCGAACACGCATGAGCACTCATTGATTTTCTTGAGAAAAAGCAGGAAGCGCTGCGACAAGGCATAGGAGGCGGGGGGACCACGCATGAACACTTACCGATTTTGTTTAGGAGATACACGAAGCGTTTGTGCGAAAAGGCAGAGGAGGGCGGGGGGAACGCGCACGAGCACTCACTGATTTTGTTTAGGAGAAGCACAAAGCGCTTGTGCGACAAGGCAGAGCAGGGCGGGGAGAACACGCACGAGCACTCACTGATTTTGTTGAGGAGAAGCACGAAGCGTTTGTGTGACAAGGCAGAGGAGGGCGGGGGGAACACATACGATCACTCACGAATTTTGTTGAGGAGAAGCACCAAGCGCTTGTATGTCAAGGTAGAGGAGGGCGGGGGGAACATGTTGGTATAAGGGCCTAATAAATTCAAGCTATTTAGACTTAACCAAAGTTAAAACCTCTCCTCGGGGTCACCTTCAAGGGTCCTTGGGTGCCTGGTACAAGACCAGCCCCTATCCTCGGGTCCGAGTTTGTAGGGAGAGGGATCAAGAGGGACTTGGTCAAAACAGCAAGAGTACCTTGAACGTCGCAGTGTCTCATGCAGACCGTCGATCGGATTAAGCTCAGTTCCATGCAACAGAACCAATCTGGCTGGACAAAACAGCACGTGGTAGGTTGGTAAACAACCTCTGGTTTTATTTTTCCAACCTGGGAAAACAACAACCAGGTTCAGGTCCTAAAAACAGAACCTATTTTGTCTTTGCCCAACCAGCCAAATGCTGGTTCCGCTGGTTTCCCCTGGCCATGTAGCATGCAGATACAGACAAACAACATCCAACCTTCACCTAAGTTGTACCCCTATAGTGCCTGCGCTGCTACACTATAGTTAACCAAACAAAACAGTACAATTTCGAGTGGAAAGAACTGAATCTGCGCAATCAATTAAAATATCCCGCAAAGCTTCCATCTTGGTTTCCTTTGCGAGCTCGTCCTTTCTGCTTGCACTGTTCATAGCGCGTAAAATGCTGTGCCGAAGCGCACAATGCTCCACTACCTGCAAATGGTTGAAGCAAAAATTACGAAAGGAAACAAACACACGAACACACCATTTACACGTAAATGCATTCGTAGACGCATACTCGTACAAACAAACGCGAGGATGTCGTGCAATGTGAATTTGCACCCAACAAAACACGCACGAGCAATCACGGACTTTGTTGAGGAGAAGCACGATGCGCTTGTGCGACAAGGCAGAGGAGGGCGGGGGGAACACGTACGAGCAGTCACAAATTTTGTTGAGGAGAGGCACAAAGCGCTGGTGCGACAAGGCAGAGGAGGGCGGGGGGAACACGCACGAGCACTCACCGATTTTCTTGACGAGAAGCACTAAGCGCTGGTGCGACAAGATAGAGGAGGGAAGGGGGAACACGTATTAGCACTCACCGATTTTGTTGACGAGAAGCACGAAGCGTTTGTGCGACAAGGCAGTGGAGGGCGGGGGGAACACGCAAGATCACTCACAGATTTTGTTCAGGAGAAGCACGATGCGCTTATGCGACAAGGCAGAGGAGGGCGGGGGGAACACATACGAGCACTCACCAATTTTGTTGAGGAGAAGTACGAATCGCTTGTGCAACAAGGTAGAGGAGGGCGGGGGGAACACGTTCGAGGATTCACCAATTTTGTTGAGGAGAAGCATGAAGCGCTTGTGCGACAAGGCAGAGGAGGGCGGGGGGAACACGGACGAGCACTCACCGATTTTGTTGAGGAGAAGCACAAAGCGCTGGTGCGACAAGGCAGAGGAGGGCGGGGGAACACGTACGAGTACTTGCTGATTTTGTTGATGAGAAGCACGAAGCGCTTGTGCGACAAGACAGAGGAGGGCGGGGGGAACATGCACGAGCACTCACCGATTAGGAGAAGCACGATATGCTTGTGGGACGAGGCAGAGGAGGGCGGAGGGAACACGAACAAGCACTCACCGATCTTGTTGAGGAGAAGCAGGTAGAGCTGGTGCGACAAGGCGGAGGAGGGCAGGGGGAACACGCACGAGCACTCACCGATTTTGTTGAGGAGAAACACGATGCGCTTGTGCGACAAGGCAGAAGCTGGTGGGGGAACACGCACGAGCACTCACAGATTTTGTTGAGAAGCACAAAGCGCTGGTGCGACAAGGCAGAGGAGGGCGGGGGAACAAGTATGAGTACTCCCCGATTTTGTTGATGAGAAGCACGAAGCGCTTGTGCGACGAGGCAGAGGAGGGCGGAGGGAACACGAACGAGCACTTACCGATCTTGTTGAGGAGAAGCTGGTAGCGCTTGTGCGACAAGGCAGAGGAGGGCGGGGGGAACACGCACAAGCACTCACCGATTTTGTTGAGGAGAAACACGATACGCTTGTGCGACAAGGCAGAAGAGGGCGGGGGGAGCACACACGAGCACTCACGGATTTTGTTGAGGAAAAGTACAAAGCGCTGGTGCGACAAGGCAGAGGAGGGAGCGTGGAACATGCACAAGCACTCACCAATTTTGTCGAGGAGAAGCACGAGGCGCTTGTGCGACAAGGCAGAGGAGGGCGAGGGGAACACGCACGATCACTTTTAGATTTTGTTAAGGAGAAGCACGATGCGCTTGTGTGACAAGGCAGAGGAGGGCGAGGGGAACACGTATGAGCACACACCGATTTTGGTGAGGAGAAGCACAAAACGCTTGTGCGAGAAGGCATAGGAGGGCGGGGGGAACACAGACGAGCACTCACCGATTTGTTGAGGAGAAGCACTATGGGCTTGTGCGAAAAGGCAGAGGAGGGCGGGGGGACCACGCACGAGCACTCACCGATTTTGTTGAGGAGGAGCAATATGCGCTGGTGCGAAAAGGTAGAGGAGGGTGGAGGGAACACGCACGCTCACTCACCGATTTTGTCGACGAGAAGCACGATGCGCTTGTGCGACAAGGCAGAGAAGGGCGGGGGGAACACGCACGAGCACTCACCGATTTGTTGAGGACAAGCACGAAGCACTTCTACGACAAGGCAGTGGAGGGCGGGGGGAACACGCACGAGCACGAACTGATTTTCTTGAGGAAAAGCACGAAGCGCTGGTGCGACAAGGCGGAGGAGGGCGCAGGGAACATGCACGAGCACTCACCGATTTTGTCGAGGAGAAGCACGATGCGCTTGTGCAACGAGGCAGAGGAGGGCGGAGGGAACATGAACGAGCACTTATCAATCTTGTTGAGGAGAAGCAGGAAGCGCTGGTGCGACAAGGCAGAGGAGGGCGGGGGGAACACGCACGAGCACTCACAGGTTTTGTTGAGGAGAAGCACAATGCGCTTGTGCGAAAAGGCAGAGGAGGGCGGGGGGACCACGCACGAGCACTCACCGATTTTGTTGAGGAGGAGCATGATGCGCTGGTGCGAAAAGGTAGAGGAGGGAGGAGGGAGCACGCACGCTCACTCACCGATTTTGTCGACGAGAAGCATGATGCGCTTGTGCGACAAGGCACAGAAGGGCGGGGGGAACACACACGAGCACTCACCGATTTTGTTGAGGACAAGCACGAAGCACTTCTACGACAAGGCAGTGGAGGGCGGGGGGAACACGCACGAGCACGAACTGATTTTCTTGAGGAAAAGCACGAAGCGCTGGTGCGACAAGGCGGAAGAGGGCACGGGGAACATGCACGAGCACTCACCGATTTTGTTGAGGAGAAGCACGATGCGCTTGTGCAACGAGGCACAGGAGGGCGGAGGGAACACGAACGAGCACTTATCGATCTTGTTGAGGAGAAGCAGGAAGCGCTGGTGCGACAAGGCAGAGGAGGGCGGGGGGAACACGCACGAGCACTCACAGGTTTTCTTAAGGAGAAGCACGATGCGCTTGTGCGAAAAGGCAGAGGAGGGCGGGGGAAACACGCACAAGCACTCACCGATTTTGTCGAGGAGAAGCACGATGCGTTTGTTCGACAAGGCAGAGGAGGGCGGAGGGAACACGCACAAGCACTCACAGATTTTGTTGAGGAGAAGCACGATACGCTTGTGCGACAAGGCAGAGGAGGGCGCGGGGAACACGCACGTGTAGCACCAATTTTGTTGAGGAGAAGCACGATGCGCTTGTGTGACAAAGCAGAGCAGGGCGGGAGGAACACGTCCGAGCACTCACAGATTATGTTGAGCAGAAGCAGGAAGCGCTTGTGCGAGAAGGCAGAGGAGGGCGGGAAAAACACGCACGAGCACTCACAGATTTTGTGGAGGAGAAGCACGATACGCTTGTGCGATAAGGTCAAGGAGGGCGGGGGGAACACGCACTAGCACTCACCAATTTTATTGAGGAAAAGCATGAAGCGTTTGTGCTACAAGGCAGAGGAGGGTGGGGGAAACACGCACGAGCATGCACCAATTGTGTTGAGGAGAAGCACGATGCGCTTGTGCGACAAAGCAGAGGAGGGCGGGAGGAACACGTTCGAGCACTCTAAGATTTTGTGGAGGAGAAGCACGATACGCTTGTGCGATAAGGCCGAGGAGGGCGGGGGGAACACACACGAGCACTCACTGATTTTGTTGAGGAAAAGCACGAAGCGTTTGTGCTACAAGGCAGACGAGGGCGGGGGGAACACACACGAGCACTTACCAATTTTGTTGAGAAGAAGCACGAAGCGCTGGTGTGACAAGGCAGAGGAGGGCGGGGGGAACACGCACGAGCATTCACAGACTTTGTTGAGGAGAAGCACGATGCGGTGGTGCGAAAAAGCAGAGGAGGGCGAGGGGAACACACACGAGCACTCACCGATTTGTTGAGGAGAAGCACGGAGCGCTTGTGCGACAAGGCAGAGGAGGGCGGGAGCAACACGCACGAGCACCCACCAATTTTGTTGAGGAGAAGCACGAAGCGCTGGTGTGACAAGGCAGAGGAGGGCGGGGGGAACACGCACGAGCACTCACCGATTTTGTTGAGGAGAAGCACAAAGCGCTGGTGCGACAAGTCAGAGGAGGGCGGGGGGAACACGCATGAGCGCTCATTGATTTTGTTGAGAAGAAGCACGAAGCGCTTGTGCGACAAGGCAGAGGAGGGCGGGGGGAGCACGCACGAGCACTCACCGATTTTGTTGAGGACAGGCATGAAGCAGTTGTACGACAAGGCAGAGAAGGGCGGGGGGAACACGCACGAGCACTCACAAACTTTGTTGAGGTGAAGCACGATGCGCTTGTGCGACAAAGCAGAGGAGGGCAGGAGGAACACGTTCGAGCACTCACAGATTTTGTTGAGCAGAAGCAGGAAGCGCTTGTGCGAGAAGGCAGATGAGTCAGGGGGGAACACGCACGAGCACGCACCAATTTTGTTGAGAAGAAGCACGATGCGCTTGTGCGACAAAGCAGAGGAGGGCGGGAGGAACACGTCCGAGCACTCACCAATTTTGTTGAGCAGAAGCAAGAAGCGCTTGTGCGAGAAGGCAGAGGAGGGCGGGGGGAACATGCACGAGCACTCACAGATTTTGTGAAGGAGAAGCACGATACGCATGTGCGACAAGGCAGAGGAGGGCAGGGGGAACACGCACTAGCACTCACCGATTTTGTTGAGGAAAAGCATGAAGCGTTTGTGCTACAAGGCAGACGAGGGCGGGGGGAACACGCACGAGCACTCACCGATTTTGTCGAGAAGAAGCACAAAGCGCTGGTAGGACAAGGCAGAGGAGGGCGGGGGGAACACGCACGAGGACTCACAGATTTTGTCGAGGAGAAGCACGATGCGCTTGTGCGACAAGGCAGAGGAGGGCGGGGGGAACACGCACGAGCACTCACAGACTTTATTGAGGAGAAGCACGATGTGCTGGTGCGACAAAGCAGAGGAGGACGTGGGGAACACGCACGGTCGCTCACCGATTTTGTCGAGGAGAAGTTCGATGCGTTTGTGCGACAAGGCGGAGGAGGGCTGGGGGAACATGCACGAGCACTCACCGATTTGTTGAGGAGAAGCACGGAGCACTTGTGCAACAAGGCAGAGGATGGCGTGGGCAACACGCACGAGCACACACCAATTTTGTTGAGGAGAAGCACGATTGGCTTGTGCGATAAGGCAGAGGAGGGCAGGAGGAACACGTTCGAGCACTCACCGATTTTGTTGAGCAGAAGCATTATGTGCTTGTGCAACTAGGCTGAGGAGGGCGAGGTACGAGCACCCACCAATTTTGTACAGATTTTGTGGAGGAGAACCACGATGCGCTTGTGCGACAAGGCAGAGGAGGGCGGGGGGAACACGCACGAGCACTCACCGATTTTGTTGAGGAAAAGCACAAAGCGATTGTGCTACAAGGCAGACGAGGGCGGGGGGAATCGCACGAGCACTCACCGATTCTGTTTAGGAGAAGCACGAAGTGCGTGTGCGACAAGGCAGAGGAGGGCGGGGGGAACTTGCACGAGCACTCACCGATTTTGTCAAGGAGAAGCACGATGCGCTTGTGCGCCAAGGCAGAGGAGGGCGGGGGGAACACGTACGAGCACTCACCGATTTTGTTGAGGAAAAGCACGAAGCGCTTGTGCTACAAGGCAGACGAGGGCGAGGAGAACACGCACGAGCACTCACCGATTTTGTTGAGAAGAAGCACGATGCGCTTGTGCGACAAGGCAGAGGAGGGCGGGGGGAAATCCTACGAGCACTCACAGATTTTGTGGAGGAGAAGCACGATGCGCTTGTGTGACAAGGCAGAGGAGGGCTGGGGGGAACACGCACGAGCACTCACCGATTTTGTTGAGGAAAAGCACGAAGTGCTTGTGCTACAAGGCAGATGAGGGCAGGGGGAACACGCATGAGCACTCACCGATTTTGTTGAGAAGAAGCACAAAGCGCCGGTGCGACAAGGCAGAGGAGGGCGGGGAGAACTCGTACGAGCACTCACTGATTTCGGTAAACAACCTCTGGTTCTGTTTTTTCAACCTCGGAAAACAACAACCAATTTCAGGTCCTTAAAACAGAAACTGTTTTGTCTTTGCCCAACCAGCCAAATCCTTGTTCGGCTGGTTTTTGTTGGCCCTGTAGCATGCAGATACAGACAAACAGCATCCAACCTTCACCTAAATTGTACCACTATAGTGCCTCCTCTGCTACACTATAGAACTGAATCTGCGCAATCAATAAAACCGAACCGCGAAGCTTCCATATTGGGTTCCTTCGCGAGTTCATCTTTTTTGCTTGCCCTGTTTATAGCGCGTACAATGTTGTGCCGAAGCGGACATTGCCCGAGTACCTGCAAATGCTTCAAGCGAAAGTTGCGAAAGCAAACAAACAGACGAACACTATATTTATACGCAGATGCACTCGCAAACGCATACTCATACAAACAGACGACAGGATGTCGTGCAATGTAAATTTGCACCTAACACACTCACCATTCTGTTGAGGAGAAGTACGAAGCGCTTGTGCGATAAGGCAGAGGAGGGCGGGGAGGACACGCACGAGCACTCACCGATTTTGTTGAGGAGAAGCACGGAGCGCTTGTGCGTGCGCTGCGCCTCACTATGGCCTCCAGCTGTCGGCACCGTGCGCCCAGCAGGTCGCGCTCGTCGAGCACGAGCAGCACCACGTCCGCCGCCTCCACCACCACGTGCAGCTCACGCATAAACACCTGCTGCCCGCCCGCTGCGCGCGCCCGAGGGGGGAGGGAAGGGGGGGAGGTGGTTTGTGGGGGAAGAAGAGGAAGAGGAGAATAAAACTAAGGGGTTGAAGAAGGTAAATTGAGGGGAGGGAGAGGAAGGGAAGAGGAGGAACGGCGGATGTAGCGGGAGCACGAATACAGTGGATATGCGCCGATCGTTTTGTACTGCATGTTCCCTCGGTGGGGTTTCGGGCTTAAGATTTGATGCCTCCTAACCCCTTCAGCCGTTGGGACTCAGGCTTAGTAAGATTTGCCCCTTTCCTATTGCCTCCCGCGCACCCACCTTTCTCCTTGCCCACTGCCGCTCCTCCGCTTCTCAAATTCCGCGCCCCTCTCTATCGCCCCCTTCACCATCCCCGCCATCGGCGCCCAGCTCTTCACGCGACCATCCCTTCCCCTCCTCCTGCCCCTTGCCCCCCCATCTCCGCGTCTTCCTCATTCTCCTTACCTTCCGCGCCCGGCAGCGGCCCCACGCGGTGCCGCTTCGCCAAGTGGGGGGAAGGAGAATTTGTGGAGAAGGGAAGTTTGGGGGAGGGAAGGAGTGGCAGATGTTTGAGGTTTGATAAGCATCTCTTGACGTGTGAATGCCCATTTCTTGACGAGCGAATGTGCCAGATCAGTTTCACTGCGACCCCACTCCCGACCTTCAGTTCTTGGCTCTCTTTCCCCTCTCGCCAACTCGCTCCCATTCCCTTCTCCCCGCGCACCCGTTCCTTCTTCTGCGGCTTCTTCGCCTCGCGCCCTTCCAGCGCACGCTGCCACGGCGCTTTGAGAGCCGCGAGCTCCTTTTCGCGGAATGGCAAGTCGTTAGGGATGCCCGGGTCCTTCTCCACGTGGTGCCGCGGTGCGCCTTCTTGGCCTCCTTAAGCTTCTTCTTTGCGTGCTCCTTGACCTTTCAAATGACTTTGTACTTCTGCCGCAGCGTCACTCGCTTGCTCTTGTTCTCTGCGTGCACGCAAGGGGCGCGCGGTGTGGCGGGGGAAGAGAGGGAGGGGGTCGGAAAGGTAAGGGCGGGGTGAGGAAAGTCAGTCGTAAGGCACGAGGGGAGATGCACGAGAAACGCGACACAACGAGGAGAGACATTTTGCATAGAAAAAGGCTGGGGTGCTTCTAGGCCAACGAGGCATGACACGACCACGGAATCACTAGGCACCACAAGCACAGCAATTACTCCGATAGCCTCAAGCCGCCAATCCTCGGACGATTAACATCAACACACTCTTGCTTCGCTTCACCATCCTTGCTGCCGATTGGCCTGCTCGAGCCGCTTTAAGGTCTAACCCAACAGAAATCAAACGGGTGGTGGATGGAATTACCGTGGCGGAAAGAAGGCGCGCATAGATGAAAACGAGTGTGGTGGTGCGAAGCAAAAGGGAAGGAAAGGAGAGTAACGCGCATGTAATATGGGGTCTTATCAGGTATTTGAAATGATTTATCAGAGGGGTGGGGTTTGGGTTCGGCAACTTCCTGCAAAATGAGGGACGGTAACCCTATCCTCGTCCACTGTAATTGTTAGGATATTTTTGGAGGGCGAGGAATAAGCATTCACCTGAATGCCGTTTGATGAGATTATTTGCGCGGCAGTGTGGTTCGATGACATTCTAGATCATTCGGGCGCGATTTTGCACGTGGTAAACTCCAATGATTCCCTAAAGGCGACTTTGACTCAAAAATCCGTCTTTCCCTTCTCTGTGTTGTCGCCTAGCTGCATGCCGTGTGTCCGCCACGTGCGTGCAATTCCTAAACACGTAACGATCAGCCCGTAGAGTCATTGGCCCGTCGTTCGGGAAGCATCGCAGGGTGCCATGACCTCGATCGTATCGCTGCCCATGCGCCGATTCCTCCGCTCCTCGCTGTTTGACCGCGCCGCGCTCCTATAAAAACTCGTCCTCACCCTCCTCAATGGCAACACCAGATCACGTCAGTCTAAGCAGCGGCTCGTCGCTCATTGGCCAGCCGCTCGGTACAGGTACGCGTGATGTGGCGGTTGAGTGGACAGCAGTGTAAGTTTGTACTGAAGTTCCATCTCGCGCTCCGCTTTAAGTCGAAGCATCTGATTGCAAGCCACCAGTCGTTCCGTCTCGCCCTCCGCTACCTCCATCCGCGGTGGCGCGCCCTCATGCGCTATCGCGTCCGCCAGTGCGCCGTAGTTCCCTCATTTAACCCGCACCTCTCCCCCACGCCTTCCCTTGCGACAGCTGTCGGCTCCCCCGGTGGCTCCCCCAGTCGCTCTCGTAGTGCTAAGCGCCTGCCAATCACGCCACGGACAGGCGTCGCCCGCGCAAGCGCACGCCGTGGGCTATAGTTGCAGTAAGACAGAGAGGGATGCACGAATGGGAATGGGACAGGTGTCCCACTTCGAGTGGCGTGTCAGGTGAGCGTGGCGCGACACCACGGCTGCGACCTCCGCACGCCCCTCCGCTTCCCGCAATCGTTCGACTCCGCACATTTCCCCCCTATCTCCACCCTACATCCGCCACCTCCCTACACCCTGTTCATCCACGGCGCGCGCTGGCGCCCTTCCCCGCCGTCCCTCCGCCATCTCCTTCAATCCCCTCCCTCCCTTCCCCCTCCCCCTCTCCCAGGGCATGCTGGGCGCGTACAGCGAGATGGCGGCGATGAGAGTGTACCAGGGGTTCTCCCGCGTGCCCTGCGACCAGTTCGACGACGCCTTCGGAGTAAGGCCCTGCCCGCTCAAGGCGCCCCAAGAACACCCTAGCCCCCGAAACGAGCGTTTTCATCCCCAAAACGTGGAAGGATCAGCACATGTGCAAAAAATGCAGCACGCATGGATCATTCGCCAGTGCCAATGACCGATCATGCTCGTCACCCTCCCACGCTCTTACTGGTTTGGTAATAGGTCCAAAGGCACATAGCCGCATGACAAAACGGTAGAAGAATGCCCGGAACAAGCGTTTTCATCCCCAAAATGCGGAAGGATCCGCACATGTGCGGGAAATGTGGCAGGCATGGTCCATTCGCCAGTGCCAATGACCGATCATGCTCGTCACCCTCCCACGCTCTTGCTGGCTTGGCAATAGATCCAAAGGCACACAGCCGCGTGACCGGACGGTAGAAAAACGTCCGGAACGAGCGTTCTGATCCCCACAACGCGGAAAAATCCGCACATGTGCGAGAAATGCGGCAGGCATGGTTCATTCACCAGTGGCAATTACCGATGATGCTCGTCACCCTCCCACGCTCTTGCTGGCTCAGTAATGGGTCCAAACGCACACAGCCACATGATTGAACACTAGAAAAACGCCCAGAACGAGCGTTTTCATCTCCAAAATGCGGAAGGATCCGCACATGTGCAAAAAATGCAGCATGCATGGTTCATTCGCCAATGGCAATGAACAATTATGCTGGTCACCCTCCCATGCTGTTGCTGGCTTGGAAAGAGGTCCAAACGCACGCAAACGCGTTTTGAGTACCAAGCTAAATGGATAAGTAACGCACTTATTCCAGGTAACAACCATACGGGTAAGTAACACGGTTACTCTTGGTACCAGCCGTATGGGCAAGGAACGCACTTACACTTGCTACTAACCATATGGGTAAGTAACGCGCTTATCGTTGGTGCCAACAATATTTATAAATAACGCGCTTACTCTTGGTACCAACCATATGGGTAAGTAATGCACTTTCTCTTGGTATCAACCATACGTGTAAATAACGCACTCACACTTGGTACTAACCATATGGATATGTAATGCACATACTCATGGAACGAACCATATAAGTAAGTGACACGCTCAATTTTTGTACCAACCATATGGGTCAGTAACGCACATACTCTTGGTACCAACCATATGGGTAAGTAACGTACTTATTCGAAGAACCAACCATATGAGTATGTAACGCACTTACTCTTGCTACTAACCATATAGGTAAGTAACGCACTTATCGTTGGTACCAACGACATGTATAAGTAACGCCCTTACTCTTGGTACCAACCATATGGGTAAGTAACGAACTCACACTTGATACCAACCATATAAGTAACCTACTTATCCTTGGAACCAACGATATGGGTATGTAACGCCCTGAGTCTTGGTACTAACCATATGGGTAAGTAACGCACTTACTCTTATAAGTACTTACTTTTGGAACCAACCATATGAATATGTTACGCGCTTACTCTTGGTACCAACCATATGGGTAAGTGACGCACTTACTCTTGGAACCAACCATGTGAGTAGATAACACGCTCATTCTTGGCAACAACCGTATAGGTAGGTAACGCGCTTTTCTTTAGTTCCAAGCATATGTGTATTAATGTACCTACTATTTGTACCAACCATATCGGTAAGTAACGCACTTACTCTTGGTACCAACTATTTGGCTAAGTAACGCACTGACTCTTGGTTCCAACCATAGGGGTAAGTGATGCGCTGACTTTTGGTACCAAACATTTGTGCAAGTATCGAGCTCATTTTTGGTAAAAACTATATGGGTAAGTAACGAGCTTTTTTTTAGTACCAACCATATGGTACCAAACGCATGGGTAACAACACACATATTTTTCGTACCAACCATATGGGTAAGTAAGGGCTTACTCTTGGTATCAACCGTATGGGTAAGTAACAAGCTTGCTCTTGGAACCAACCATATGAGTAAGTAACACACTAACTCTTGGTACCAACCATTTGAGTAAGTAACACACTAACTCTTGGTACCAACCATATGCGTAATTGACGGGCATATTAATGGTACCAACCATAAGGGTAAGTAACACTCTTGCTCTTGGTACCAACCACATTGAAAAGTAACGTACATACTCTTAGAACCAACCATATATGTCTGTAACGCGCTTACTCTTGGTACGAACCATATGAGTAAGTAACGAGCTCACTTTTGGTAAAAACCATATGCGTAAATAACGGGCTTTTTCTTAGTACCAACCATATGAATAAGTAACTCAATTACTCTTGGTACCAACCACAAGGGTACACTTACTCTCGGTACCAACCACAAGGGTAGGTAACGTACATACTCTTGGTACCAACCAGACTGGTAATTAATTAACTTACTCGTCGAACCAACCATATGTGTAACATACACGCTTACTCTTGCTACCAACCACATTGATATGTGACGCAGTTACTTTCGGTACCAACCACATGGGTAAGTCACGCAAGCAGACAACACTATATCAAAACTCACCAGCAGCCAGCAAATTTCCTCACCAAAAGGCTTACAAATCAGCCTCGTAGGCGTTGTGTGCGCATCAGTGGAATGAGCATGAAGTAGCATGGAATGATGTGGATGCAGCCGGCAGGCTGAGGGGAAGTGTGTTGTGTGAAAATTCACATTGCATGGCATCCTGCGATCTGTTTGTACGAGTATGCGTGTGCGAATGCATTTGTGTGTGAATAGTGTGTTCGTATGTTTGTTTGCTTAAAGCATTTGCAGGTACTCGCGCATTGTGCGCTTCGGCACAACATTATACGTGTTATAGAAAGTGCAATCAGAAAGGACGAGCTCGCAAAGGAACCCAAGATGGAAGCTTTGCAGTTCGGTCCATTTGAATACGCAGATTCAGTTTTATCCAATTCGGAATTGTACTGTTTCGTTTGGCTAACTATTGTG